CCCTCTGCATCCCCTCTCTCATCTCGTCTCTTTTTCCTGCTCTCCAGCTCTTTGCCAGAGAATGTCCTCTACCTCTATTAATCTTTCATCAAGCCTGCTAATAATATATTCATGATGCACAACTGTGTGTACCCCAATCCCTCCTCACCACAGCACCCTTTTTCACTTTCTAGTTGTCTTGTGTCTATTTTTCTACCTCCCTTCTTCTTTCCCTCCCACCCTCCTTCCATCTATCCTTTCTCCCCTTTATACTCTGTCAGTCAAGAAGGAGCTTGGGTTGATGGGCAGTGAAGGTTTAAAAATAGCCCTGCTTGCTTGACAAGTTGAGGAGAACTCTGAACACAAGAACATCAGCTCCTTTCTCCGTCTTTGTCTCCCCACGCTGCAGCCACTTTACCATCTTTTGTTGTGCTTGTATGAAATCTTTCCTCTGCTCTTACCAAACTACTCCGGTTCTTTCTGGTTTTCCACCATTCTCCTACTACAGATGCTCTTGATTTAACCTTGCAGTCAGATTTGTCTGTCTGCTTAACTGATTATTGATTCAATAAAACCCTTAAAATGATCTTGAAAATCATATTGTTTAAACATCACAGGAGCTGCTCTCAGTGGGTAAAGGGTGTTTGTGAATCCTATACGGCTTTACTGTCTTCTTTTGCTTTGTGTGTGCTTCAATGTAGTATTCAGTACAATGCGCGGCCACAGGCCGAGTTCAACCCCTCCCGTCCCGCGACAATGATGATAACAAACTTATACATATTTTGTTGGTATACTAATTCCAACTACACCTTTCATATACAATTCAAATAAAAACACAATTTTATCCCTAAAAATAATGGCAAAGTTCAAAGATGCCTGCAAATGTGTGCCAAAGGTTCATTAGAAGAGAGCACTTTCGGGCTTTGTTTGAGACAGTCAGTTTCAAGAAAGCTGGACATTACGTTTTTTTTTTGAGTTCAATGGAAATGCTACTTGCTTGATGCAAGAAAAAAGACAATCTCAAGTATCATCAGTAGACTAAACATGCAGAACAGTATGAGAAGTACCAGGGAGATTAAAGGAAAAAGTACAGCTACAGAGAGCGCTAACGTGTCAGCATGCTCTTTCCAATAAAGCCAAGACGGATGCGGATGCTGATGCTTCAGTTGAAGCGAGTTATGTGGCGAGAATAAAAGCAGGAAGCCATTCACAGAAGGGCAGTTCCTGAATGATTGCATGTTGCAAGTCACTGATATTATGTCCAGAAAAGTAGAGCTCGTTAAACAATCAAACACAGTGGCAGGACGAATTAGCAAGTTATCAAGTGACATTTATGCTCAGTTACGTTAAAACCAACTCATATTAAAAAGGAAACTGCCATTTGCATTTTTTAAGTATGTTAGTAATGGAAATATTTTCAGAATATTGTGTTTTCTTGAAGTACTTGAATGTTGAGGTGTTTGACGCCGAAGCCAATTTGAGTTTGAGACCCCTGATCTATACCATCCTATCTCAGCCTCTAGACAATCTCCATCTCCTCCTTTGTCTTTGTAGTTTTATTCTTTGTGATTTGACTCCTATCTATACCATCTTGGCTTGTATTATATGCATCTCTGCTCCCAGAACCGAACTGCACACTTTCTTTTGTGTGAGAACGAGGCGCTCTGTAAGGATCTCATCCAAAGCTTCGAGAGAGGCTTTCCTAAATAGCAGGTGAATAGCATTGTGGGGTGTGTCCACCAACGGATTTAATTGACGTGAAAGCCTTCACATGTCTGTCCCATCTGTCACCCGTAAAGAGCCCCAGGATAAACTCCATATTATGGCTCTGAGCTGTTATGATGACAACTAGAGGTGGTCAAACCTGATGTGAAGGTGTGTCGTGAGCTGCTGAACAAAGGGGATACTAAATGTGTGTGTGTGTGTGTGTGTGTGTGTGTGTGTGCATTTTTTTTTTTCTTTTTTTATGTGCAAAGGTAACAGAAACCATGAAGATGGCATACTAGATGTTTTTTAAGAGTATCTCCTTCCTTTTTTTGACAAATTTAGTTTTGACCCCTTTCCTGTTACATTGTGTGAGCATGTTGTGAATAGAAAACTATACTAACTTCTTTGTCTTGTTTCTGTCTCTTTCCAGTTGTGACAGGAGCCACGGATGGAATCGGGAAATCCTATGCGGAGGAGGTGAGCCTCCTGGACCTTATTTCATTTCTTTCACGGAAAAGCTGTGACTCATGCATGCACACACATACCGTGTTCACTCATAGGCTAATGTAGGGGAGAGCTCTTACAGGCCTATTAACGTGGAAGAGAGTTTTCATACACACGCATGCACACACTTCAACACAAGCTTGTCAACATGAGCTCATACAGAGGTTACAAGCACACCTTGAATAGGGGCTACCCTGCCACGTGTTTAAACCATACTAGTGTGGGTGTGCCGGCTGTATAATCTAGTCATGTAGGGCCTTTGACTCATACTGTTGCTGCTGGTGCTACAGTGGGGCTAGCCGCTTGTCACGCCATGGAAGGCTGCGGTTTTACCAAGTGTATTATGCCACGCAGGGTTATTTATGCAGAAACATACTTCTTAAATGCAGCTTTCACATAGAACATGATAAATCCACTGCTGTGCTCTCAAACACATAATTTTAAATGATTTGCTCATTATGCAGCCACATGACCACACCTCTAGGATTTTTTGTGCATCCAGAAGAAACAATAAGGTAGTAGCTGGTCAGAATGGGAGTTCTCAAAAATCCCTTCAGCTCTAAAGCTCTCTGTTGAAGCTCTCTTCTGGAAGCATGCTTCTCACAAAGTGAAAACAATGTGTGTTTACACATGCAGATGATTAAGATAAATCTATGGCCACTAGATACGTTTTAGTTGATGTTACTATTGCTCTCCTCATCTGATGCAGAGTTAAAGCATGGTTAACAAAAATTGAGGAATCCAAACTCTCATTGTCCTTATTATATTCAAATTATTTTCAGATTTGTTTATCTGTTTCTAACTGGTATTTCCTTTTTCTTTTTATAGCTGGCTCGTCGAGGATTTGCCATGATGTTGATCAGTCGCACACAGCACAAGCTGGATGACGTGGCCAGGTCACTTGGTAAGTGTGTATAAAATTGTGTGTGTGTGTGTGTGTGTGTGTGCGCGTCCCCACAACATCATGGAAACCTGCTTGGGGTTGAGCGCACAGTGAGTGGGCTGATGAGGATGTGTGTATGGGCAGGCGGTGACGTGCAACCTCCCACCCCATCGGCTACAGGGTTTCCCGGGCCTTAATAACAAGGCATGTCCTCAACATAAGGACTATAGTCAAAAGAGAAGAAAAGGAGACAAAGTAATCTGTTTTTTAAGGACAAAATGCAAGTTAGCATAAGTTTATTTTAGATGTTTTACTTGCAGGGTGTTGCAACAAAGGAGCAAATCTACTAACTTTCCTTTTCAAAAACAAAATGTATTTATTTTACAGAATCAGTCATTTTGTCAGTAGTTTCCCTATTCAGATTTCTTTTTTTCTCTAAATCCAATTTTTCCACTGTTTTGCTTCCTGCTAAGTCATGCCTTTCATTCTGAGTGCTTGTGAATTGGAAACATGCAGCCAACAAAACAGGCTGTGTTTTACAATCCTCACTGTCAGTATAAGGAAAGACGGATTAAATATCTGGTCTGATGAAAGAACTCATGGACCAACCTGTTCCTCTGAGAAAAGACTGGTCGTTTCTAACAAATATCCCATGCAAGTACACACAGATGGAAACAATAACTAGAAAATGAGCATTTGTATGAAAGGAAAAAACTTTCTTCCTCCTCCTTGTTGGCTTGTCTCCAGATTTTAACAGAGACTGAATGGTGAATGCCCCCCCCGTTCAAATAGTGCCCTCTCCCTGACTCGCTCTCTTTCCATCTGTCTCTGACGTCTCCCACAGCGCAATTTCCCCTGTCGTGCTTCAAGTCCACAGAGGGGGCTGATGGGTAGTCACGAGCGGGGTGCGGCGTGCCAAACTCTGTCACTCCTCCCTCACGATTAGTCTGACAAAACCACCCTCCTCAGCATGTAACCGGACAACCCACCCTGTCCTATCTATAATTTCATTGTTGTTAATGTTTCTCCTCTCGCTCATGCAAGCGTCTCATTTGACTCTTGATCGCACCTACCTGGTAACGCCAAATTATTCCCACAATTTGGCAACCTCGGCCTTAATCTGCTGCTTTGCCACCATATCCTAAGCTGCCTTTTTATTTCATTTTCTTACTTGTGGTGACTAAAAATTATCTGAACTGGGTATAGATTTCAGGGCTCTCTAACCCACTGTTTTGGTTTTGTTCTTTTTTTCTTCGTTTTATTTTTTTTACACACCCACACCTCACATTTCTTTCAGGTCCCCCCCCTTTTTAAATATTTTGTCTCCACTGAATACACACTGACACAATACTGATCTTTACCGAGGCACAACCCAGGAATTTTCCTCCTATAACTACCTCCGATCAGCTAAAGAAGTCTTTGGACAATAAATTGTAATTGCAGCGGGCGCGTCAAACATGACGAGGGAGTGGAGGGAGGGAAGGGAGGAGGGAGGGAAGGAGGGGGAGAAAATAGCTCTGCTGGTTTGTTGGTATGCAGTGCCCTCTCCAGTTCAAGTCTGACAGTGACTGGTTTCATGCTGGCTTTGATCTTGCTACCACAACAGTTGTACAATGTAACTTTCATTTCTGCAGTTTAAACACTTTTTTGTTCATTGCCATAGATATCATTGTAACCTTTATCATTAATAGATGCTTCTTTCTCCCTTCACAGAGGAGCAGTTTAAAGTGGAGACCAGGACAATTGCAGTTGACTTTGGCAAGACCGACATCTATTCCAAGATCGAGGCGGGGCTGGCTGGTCTGGAGATTGGTGTTCTTGGTAAGAGCTGATTTTTCAGGACAGTGTGTACACTCATCCTTCTGTCCAGTGACGACATACAGGAACCATCTGCATGTCAACCTGTTTGGAAAAAGATGTTGGTTTTGGGTTGTCTTCAGTGTAGTTAACATAGTGAAAGAACCTGTTGTGTTGCAGGCCTTAACGATAAGATCTAGCCTAAAGGGCAAAGCGACTGGGCAAGACAAAGTATACATCACTTAACAAACATTTGACATTCACTTGCCCGTGTATCCAAGCAGCATGAGATACAGTGTTTGCAGCAGGAGGTTAAACATGTCTAGTCATTAGTTTTAATAATTTGACATAATTTATGGGGTTGAAGGGTGTCTTGCCATACCTTGCACCTTGGCCTTAGTTTCACTGTTGGCAAACCTCCCTTCTGGACCCTATATATTTCCACAGTGTTGATATGACGACGCGTGGCTGATGAATATAGTGATCTCCTGATTCTCTCTGAACAGTAGTCATTTTATCCATTTTAAACTCACTTAATTTAGATAGTTGAATTGACTTCTTTGTAGTTTCACTTTGGCAGAGTTGGTAATGTTGTAACATTGTTGACTAGCTGTTTTTAAGGTCTGGTTGAATTATCATGACATTGTAGTAAAGAAATATTTCCAGAACACAAAGGATGAATACTCCTTTTGAGGCATGTGTTCTTTTTAAACACTGATCTCATAACTCATGGTATATGTTTGAAGTTGTACTAAAATTTCCACTGTTGTAGTAATTTTAGATATTTAGACTCTTGAGATCACATTGTACTTTTTGTTGTACATTTAAGGAACTCTTTGTCCTTTTTTTTTTTTTCTTTTTTTTTTTATGATACCAATTGTGCTCTACTGGTTGTAAGGTGTGGCTGTGTCTAGTGTGGAGTAAATGCCTGTCTTGTTTGCTTTTGCTGCCACCTTCTGGTAGAAATCTATGCTAGTTTGATCCAGAAACAGGTTATTTAGTGAAAACCATAGAATAATTGCTTTTTTCCCTTTTGTCTTCAACAGTCAACAACGTTGGTGTGTCCTACCCCTATCCTGAGTACTACCTTAATATTCCTGATCTGGACAATGTGAGTTTTGTCTTCTCTAATGCTGCTAGTTAAGAGTACTGTATCAGGTCTGCACCATCAGTGTCTGATTCATTTAACAACAACCTTGTTAATAACACTTAAATGCTACATTTCATAGAATCATCACTAAATTAATGGCAAACCAGTTTTTGTCATCATG